TTTAATTACAAACTTATTTCCACAGTATTCTAATAAAAAATTCCAAAAATAAAACATAATTATTGCCTCTAAATTTATTAGAAAATTAAAGAAACAGCCGCCAATTTATTTTAATATTTAAGCTGAAAATAGCAGAATTCTGTGTTTAAATGCAGAAAATGGCTATTAAATATCTAAATACGTAAAATAATTATTTTGTGTCTAATAAATAATATAATTTTTGAGTGTGATATTTGGAAAATAAAAAAATATAAATGTGCTTGTGTTGTGTCTTGTAAGCAGGGTTTCACACAATTGCGGATTGCGAGTTGCGGACTAAAAAAAAATTATTTTCAATTGCGTGCAGCGATGTTTGGGAGTGTGTTCGAGTTGCGAGTTGAACCAAAGTCGATGGCTTATCTTGAACGCATCATTGTTATGTTTGTTGTGTCCGCACTTGAAGTAAGAACATGAATGAAAAAAAACCCGTCATAGGTTGGATGATGGACAGTCGGTTGTGCTTCGGTCTGGATTCATTCCTTGATAGCTCTATTCCATCTCCCATCCAATGAATTTTTCCACAGCATGAACATTATAATGTCCATGGGGTTCCGAGTTTTTTCGAAGAATAAAAGTTCATCAAGCAGAAGATAAAGGCGGAGGTAGAATGTTGTGATTAAATGAAGGATAATAAAATCCAGTAGGCTGGTGGATTTTTTTGCAATTTTTTTGCAAACTCATAATACTTTTAATTTATCAAAAAAATAAATTTATTACAATTATTTCTCATTCCATGCCGAAGTAAATACCAAATTATGACATAAATAGCTGCACTGAAAATTTCAAAAAACAGACTAATACTCATAAAATAAATAGAATTATGGTGAAGAGTTGAAGTTATTCCGTTACATTTTACTTTGAAACTGAAAAAAATCTTATTAAAAATTACAAGTAGAGATCGGATAGATCCAACAGAGATCCTTAGATATTTAAAGAGATATTTCTGATAGCAAAATCAAACTTCTTACTAATATCTAACTTTCCCTTCAAAAGTCTTAGGTATGACATTGGGAACTAGCTCTGGAGCTAAGATTTTTAATCACCAGATTCAGAACTCAACCCCGTAAATCTACATAGATTAAATAAGCTTTAAAATTACGTTGTATTTCCAGCAACATCTTGAACTTCTTCCCAAGCCAAAGAAACATTAAAATCTTTTAATGTTTTGTTTAGAATACTTAGTTTCGTGGGAACTCGACTGCTTAGTTTTCAATATTTTTACTTAAATTCCGGATTCCCATAATAAAAATTTTATATGCTCAATATTCTAAATTTAATTTTATGATACATATTTAATATTAGCGTAATGAAATATGTCTTTATGTTCTCGAAAGTGGTTGTTGCTTTATTTTTTGGAAGCCTAAACAAACCCTTAGGCTATTTTTTTTATTCAATTATGATCTTAGACTCATTGAATTACCATTTGTGTTAAATTTAAATATTGTTTAGATTGGATTTTTATGAAAATAGTTTCATTTCTTGTGTAACGTCGAAAATAGTGGAGAAAGAAAAGTCTGTGTTTAAATTTCGATGTTTAAATTTGAATAAAAAATTTTTTATTAAAATGATGGGAAAATTTTATTCAAATTAGTTTTCAATTATTTAAAGAAATTCTTTTGTTCGAATTTTGGCACAAAACGTAGCACACTTCATTATCTACTGGCGAACCCTTAAAAGATTGAAAAAGCACATCTTCATTTCTTTCCATGGCAGTGAAACATGATAAAACAGCTTTCATACAACCAGAAATTTTACCATAAAACTTCTTAAAAATAATTTAATTCTTGAATGTTCTTGTGTGAATTTAATGTATCAATTTAAAAATGTCAAATTAGCGCATCATAAATATTAATTAATTGAATTTTTTGTTTGATAAGTACTTGAAATATTTTGGAGATATTGTCCTTAGGAGATATGTTGTTTCTATATTTTTTGGAAGCTTGAACAGTATCAATGCTAATTGTTAGTATCAATGCTAATAATAAACGAATTTTTTAAGTATTATATTTAAGCTAGGCCTGATTCTCATAATAAATCTCGAATTCTTATAATAAAATTAAAAGATTTTATGTATTTGCTCAGTATTCTAAATTTAATTTTAAATATGATATTTAATATAATCTAATGACACGTTCATGCTTTGCCTTCGCGGTTTGTTGTGGCCGCCATATTTTTTGGAAGCCTAAACGAATTCTTAGGCTATTTTTATTTTTAATTATTTTATGTAGTCCAGTTACTTCAAATCTCAAATCGTACAACCGCAAGTCTTGGTTAAAAGACTTAGGTTTTCGTACGTCTCCATATGAAAGATGTTTATAGATTCTTGACTCGATGCTTTTAAGGATTCGTTGCATTGGGGTTAAATAAAATCAGCGTGAAATAACCTCTAGAGACTTAACTTTTAATCAAATTTAAATTATTTATAAATTTAAAAAGATGTTAGCAAGTTTAGAATTGCGAGTGATGTTGTTTGTTGTTCGCACTGGTTTTTTCATTTGAGAACAAACTATTCATAACTGTTTCATAGGAAAAAAATTTTATTTATTGAGCTTTCTCATGTTTTGTTTAGAATACTGAGTTTTGTGGGACTCGACTGCTTAGTTTCCAAAATTTTTAATTAAATCCCGGATTATCATAATTTAATTTAAAAATTTTATTTTGCTCTATATTCTAAATTTACTTTTATGACATTTAATAATAACATAATGACACATGCTATTGGATTCTCGTAACCCACGCGCTTGATTTTTTGGAAGCCTAACAAATTCTTAGGCTATTTTTCTTTTTTAATTGTATTCTTTTTAGACACTGAATTCCCATTTGAGTTTGATTTAAATATGGTTTAGATTAGATTTTCTGACAATAGAATCGGCTTCATGGGGTTCTGCAAGTCTAGATTTTGTTTGTTGTTGGTACTGGTTTTTTAAAGTAGAACAAACTATTCATAACTGATTCAATAGGAAACAATTTTTAAATATTAGACCTTTTCATGTTTTGTTTAGCTTAGTTAGTTTTGTGGGAGCTCGACTGCTTAGTTTCCGATATTTTTAATCGAATCCTGGATTATCATAATAAAATTTAAAAATTTCATATGCTCAATATTCTAAATTTATTTTTATGATATTTAATATTATCATAATGAAATACGTCATTATGATCTCGATAAGTGGTTGCTGCTTTATTTTTTGGAAGCCTAAACATACCCTTAGGCTATTTTTCTTATTCAATTGTGATCTCCGTCTCTTTCTTCAGATCCCTCTTAACCACTCCAAATAGCCTTTGATCCCTCCAAATCCTTTCATATATCCGAAATTCAATATAAGACGCCTCATTAAGCATTGTTTGTCGATTATAAACTAATTATAAAAATATTTTTTAGTTTGTCCTATGTGCGTTCTTTGGTTATCTTTTCTTTGTTGAATCTACTTATCTTTTATTTCTTTTAGTAAGATTTCTTATGTTTTGTATTTTTTTTGACTGAAGTGATTAAATTTAAATTAGTTATGGGCTTTCACCCATATACACCAAATTTATCTGAATTCAACTAAAATAAGACTTCATGCTACTTTAATTTGCCAACATTTAACTTAAATTGCTTTAAAAGACAAAAAATAAAATATTTAATATTAAGTAATACACAATAAAATTTTAAACAAATATAGTCTTCAATATTACTTTTATATTTTATCAGTTTTATTTTGATGTTTCTGGTGAATCTTCAACATTTATATCAATTCAATCTGTGCTACTACACTCAATTGCTCGATATCATTCCAATAAAAATTATGCGAATTTTATAGATTATCTTCAAGAACAGGTTATTAATTTTTAGAAATTACATTTAGGGACGTTGCTTTTTATTAATAATAATTGCGTTCAGTTTTGAGTTTTTTCGTGTTTCGCTATCAAAAACTTTTGAATTAATTTAAAATGTTGAAAGCATTCGAAATTTAAACTTCGTTTTGCTCAATATGATTAAACTTTCAAAGCCAGAATTATAAATCGAAAATAATATTTAACTAATTGCAAATATAATTTTAATGCATCTTTTATTTTTGCAAGCTAAACAGGATTTAGCTAATACAGTGTGGCAAGGTCATGCGACACTTGCAGACGAGACATTTGCAGATATTAATTTTTGAAAAAATTTTTTTATTTAAAAAAATTTAAAAATCTTAAAAACCAATGAACTGACAAAAAAAATATTAATTTTTATGTAAATTTTACATTTATATCTAGATTTACATCTCTCATACTGATTCATTAGGAAGCAATTTTTAATTATGTAATAAACCTTTCCATTTTCTGTTTAGAATACAGAATTTCTTAGGAACTCGAGTGAGTAGTTTCCAATATTTTTAATTATATCCCGGGTTCTATTTCAAAATTATATATGCAGAATATACTAAATTTACTTTTATGATATTTAATATTATCTAATGAATATGCTTTGTAATTTTTATAGACGAAATCACAAAAAATTATTTTTTGGAAGCCTAAATAAATGCTTAGGCTATTTTTCTTTTTCAATTTTGATCATCCTAGACTAATTAAATTCCCATTTGTGTTTAATTTAAATATGGTTAGATTGGATTTTTCTGAAAATATTTTCGTGGATAACGGCAAAAATAGTAGAGCTAGAAAAGTCTGTTGCAATATCCAATAATCGTTACTAACCAACTTATTCTCTTAAAGATGTTCTGGAAATTGGTATATATTGGATTTCCTTCCTTTAACCATTATTGCCTCTAAATTTATTAGAAAAGATTGGAATCTTCTTCTAGAGCTTCCAGTTTCTCCCCTCTTCGCAATCTTTCAATTAAAAATAACAAAAAATGTGAAGGAAAGAGAAAGTCTTCAACCCTCGAATCTGTGCCAAACAATAAAATTAAAAAGCGGGTATTTGATGGCAAAAAAGATCGTTTTCGACACCACTGATTTCCTCATTCCTCCCGTTGTTAATGGAAACAACTGAAAGAGGAAAGGGAACTTTACATGCACTGAACCGCGGAAATTATAAAATTTTTATGGGAGAACAACACAAAAGACAAACAACAGAAAATGCTCAAAAACAAGGAGAAAAAGCCGAAGTTATTGTTCCACTTAATAAATGTTCCCCTCCACGTTCACCACCCAAAGTCAAACCACCTCCTACACCAAAGTATACATATATTTAGAGGAAAATATAATATTGTGTAATTTTAAGAAATGATGAGGAAGCGGCCCAATTAGGTACTTCAATTAAAGCTGGCAAACTTGAGTGGAAGGTAAATTTGCACTGAATTTTCCCCCTTTAAATTGTGATTGGCCCCATAGTTCCTAGATTTTCGCGGTCATATCTGGCCCTATAGGAGACCACGTGCAGATCTTGGTGTCATCAAATCCTGCGAGCTCTTTCGAATGACGGATTTATAATTCGTTTGAATACGAAACACGTGTAACGAGTTTGGGCGTTATTAGAATACGAAACAGAAATTCATTTTTCCCTCTTAGATAAACTTCCAAAATAGTATACCGGCCAGCTAATTTCGTGGCTTACAATAATATAAAATTGCGCATGGCAAAAATGCGAAATCGCCCAGCCCTGATTTATATGGCTTTCCCTCCTAAATAAACTTACAAAATATACTAGCCAGCTTATTTTGTGGCTTACAAAAATACAGATGTTAGTGATTGCCTCAAACTGAATAAATTTGAAATTCAAAATACTTAAATAAAATATGAAAATATAAAATTCAATATTGTGCATATTTTTCTTTCAAACTTCATTTCTACTAAATTGATAATAAATTTTAGATTGGAAAAACTGGACGAAAGGCAACAAAAGAATCATCTTCTAGAGCTTCCAGTTTCTCCCCTCTTCGGAATCTTTCAATTAAAAATAACAAAAAATGTGAAGGAAAGAGAAAGTCTTCAACCCTCGAATCTGTGCCAAACAATAAAATTAAAAAGCGGGTATTTGATGGCAAAAAAGAACAGCTACATCCAAGCCATAAAAATAATAATTTTGAAAAATTAAATAATAAAAATTGTATTAAAAATATTCAGCCAGAACCGTCTGCCCCTCCAATGTATTTTACTATGCAATTGCAACAACACCATTTCAATTAATTTTATTTTTGTAATTTTTTGTTTGAATAAACGAATTTTTTAATTATTTTATTTAGTCCATTCCGATATTATTAATTACCTAATCTCGGATTCTCATCTTAAAATGTAAAAATTTCAGATGCACAATATTTTAAATTTACTTTTATGATATTTAATATTATCATAATGAAGTATGTTTTTTGATTCTTTACACGTTCTTGCCGCTTTATTTTTTGGAAGCCTAACAAATGCTTAGGCTATTTTTCTTTTTCAATTGTGATCTTCTTTGTCTCCATTTGTGTTTAATTTAAATATGTATTGTTTAGATTGAAATTTTCTGAAAATAGTTTCGACTTCTTGGGTAACGGCGATTACCTCTAGAGAACCTCTAAAATTTTGAAAAAGCATTTTCTTTTTTCTCATGGCAATGTAAAAATAAAAAATTGACATATAACCCTAAATTTTATCTAAAAACTTCTTAAAAATATTTAATTCTTGGGTGGTTCTTGTGTAAATATGTATATCAATTTAAACAAGTCAAATTAGCGGATCATAAATATTAATTAATTGAATTTTTTGGTTTGATAAGTACTTGAAATATTTTGGAGATATTGCCTCTTGTTTTTTGATGATTCTTATTTTTTGGAAGCATGAACAGTGTTCAATGCTAATAATTAATTAACGTTATAAAAATGCTAACTTATAATTAGATAGTTTTTTAGGCCCGAAAAAACGAATAATGGGTACCTAAATAAGTTCGAAAACTCATTATTTCGACCCAAAACAGTATCTGATATATCAAAAACTCAAAATAAGCATATTACACAACAACATTCTTTTTTTTGTTGTTGTTTGTTTCATTTTTTTCCCTACTCCCCAAAAAACACATTGCATTTCTACATCAGTTAGCCTAAAAAAATAGCATAATCTTAAAACCTAAAAAACTTAATAACTATTATATACTGTATATACTCTAATAAGTTTTGCCTATGTACCTGATGAGAATCTTTTCTCACGCTATTTATTGAGAAAAATTCAAATTTGTGTTGTATTATGTTTGTAATGTTCACTTGTATACATTTTCTCTTCGTTAGCTATTGCCAAAGAAAGGAAAATTCAAATTTTCTGTCTTATAAATTAAGTTACTGGTCAAGGACCAAAAAACAAAGAGTGCTACAACTGTTGCACCACATTTTAGAATGATATATAAACAATCATCGAAGCTCATTTAATAATAGTTCTGCAGTCTCTCAAAACAAGCAAAAATTAGGAAAAGCGCCGCTGCGCTTTAGGAACCTAAAATCTTTTTAAATTTCAGTTTAGAAAACTTAAAATTACTTTGCAGTTTTAATTTCCCTTTTCGATTTCAGGATAATTTATTAATCAAATTATTAAATTTAAAAATGAACAAAAATGGAACAACAAAGAAGACAAATGGTAAAGTGAAAAAATTCGGCAAAAGCCCTGGCATGAAGAAGCTGTTGAATCAGGTCATTTATTTAATTCGTAATAATGAAAACTTGAAAAACTCTTATTTAAATTTTTTGAAACCGTTCTTTGTTAAGACTTTCTCTCTTTCTCGATTACTTGTATTTATAACAACCATTTGTTAGTTTTCCTATTTATTAGAACATAAACAAGTCAAATAAAAACCTTTAAATCGGTTTTATAGTAAATGGGATAGAAACAATTATATGGGGTAGGCAGAGGGAAAGACGTCCAAGAAAATGAACGCTTTTACTTGTTAGCGTAATTCCATTTTTTAAATATTAAAATTTTAACTTTTCACTAAATTTATTTAACCAGAATTGATTTGTATTTTTAAAATAAGAAGTTCCTTGCTGATCGCAAAAAGTTAATTGATTTTGAGCCTGAAAAATTAGACAGAAAAAAATCAAAACAGACTGTACATCAAATTTAAATTATAGAGGAAAGCTGCAACAGCCAAAAATTAACAACAATAAAAAATGTATTTCTAAAAATAAAAAAAATATAAATTATGGACGTCGTTTTAACTTCATATATAAAAAGTATGTGAATGACCCCTCAAAATCTCTTCCAAATGTATTAGTGCAACAACCTAAAAAGATTATAAAAGTAAAAGATGATGAAAAAATATTACCGTCTAATTTTAAAAACATTGAAATATCATCTGAATTAAGCAAGGACATTACCTCGATCCAAACCCTAATCTTAATCTCTGTAATTTTAAGTCTATCATCTCAATGTTCTTAAAATTATAAAAAGTGAGGACATTTATTTTGGAATATACGACAATTAAAATAAAAAAATATCAGAATATTTTTAATCAAAAATTTAAGGATCACTATTATTTCTTTTAAAAATAATTTTAGAATTTAAATTATTTATTCCTTCATTTTTCATTAAATTAATGTCAGCACCCACTTTAATCTTTGATACTAAATTTTAAATAAATTAATTGATAAAAAAATAAAACCAACCAATCTTTTGTTGAATAGGCTGAGAATAAATAATTAATTTAATTGGTTATAAGTATTTATTGATGTTATTTTAGCTAATAGTGCCCTACTTGTTACTTATTATTTCTATATTAATATTTTAGTACAATCTTATTATCGCCACAAAACCGTTTGAATTTTTACTACCGTTTGGTCTCATTAAAAGCGTGTGAAGCTAACAAAGTGACCGTTATGCTAGGTATCTGAAGAAAATTTTAAGCTCGACAATGAACTCTATTACAATGCTCAATCCTGCCTGATCTACATATTGGTATTCATCAGTTTTTAGTTATTTATAAAAAGTTTCGTTATCTATGTTGATACAATATTTTTGGGTGTGAATGTAATTTCGAAAATAAATTAAATATTTTACCTTAATTTGATTTATTCCATTTTTGTTATTTAAATCTTTAACATAACGCTTAAGTATTGGAATATATTTAAGAAATGCTCGGCGATATTCGCAACTAAAAATTTAAAAAATTATTAAATTTTAATAGTGTTAAATAATAGATTATTTCATAATTTAATATATCAACTTTCTGTTTATATTTATGTATTGCTATTTCAAACTCTCATTATTTTTGGATGTTTGAAGATAAAATTCAAACAATATTACGAAATAACACCAAAAGTGTGTTGGTAACTCGAAGCCGAGCATTTTATTCCGACCCGAAGAAATTTTTTTTTCACTACATCCCTATACATCGGGGCGGACAAGCTGATACTCTTTTTAAAGCATGATCAAATCCGTATAAAATTTATATCATTCGAAAGCCCTCGATGAGCCCTATCTTTATCCCACCTGGATGGATCAAGTCTGATCACCGGTTAAAAATTATAAGTCGATAAGTGCAAGAAATCGTTGTTTTTCACATTTATCGACTTGTAACTTTTAATGGGCGATCAAACCTGATCTATGCAATTGTAAAAAAGAAAGCGCTTATCGAGTTCTTTCGAATGATATATGAATGTTATAGCAGATAAATGTTAAAGCCGACCAAATTCGGCTGACGCTCAACTGACCCTAACCTCTAAACATACCTAAATTTAAATAAAATAACAGCATTTGCACAACAAGCAATTAAAGCAAAATGATTAGCCAGTTGATAAACTATATAAGTTACAGCTGTGTCACTTGGATCCCAAAAATTTGGAATTCCAATAATTTTGGTAAATAAATAGTAATTTGTATAAAATGTAAAGCCGAACAAGGATACAAGCAAAATACTTAGTAATGATTTAAATAAACGTCTTGTTGACACTTAATTAATTAAAAAATTAATTTGTTTTTTCTTTTAACAGACAAATGTCTAAAAAGAGTAGGGCTATGGGTTCCTAAAAAACAAGCCACAAAAACTGAAGAGAAAACCCCATAGATCATCGGTTAGTCTTGTCGGTGCAGCTTCAATTAACCTAAAAACTTGGTGAATCAGACATTTCTAATCGAGAGGATTTGGTCCGCAATGGGTTTTTAGACGAGGACATGTGCGATTTTTAGATTATAAACTTTGGAAGTGTTTCAGGCAAATATTTTTCTAAAAAGTTACGGATATAGTGTACTGTACCGGTGGTAAAAGTTCGGGACGTGACATATGTCATTCGATTC